TCCCCCCCCCCCCCCCCCCCCCCCCCCCCCCCCCCCCCCCCCCAGGCCTTCACCACACTATTGTCCCTGTCCATTGGTTATATACATATGTATATGAGTTCTTTGGTTAATCCCTTCCAGTCTCCCCCCACCTCCCCTCTGAGGTATGTCAGTCTGTTCCATGCCTCCATGCCTCTGGACCTATTTTGTTTGTCAGTTTATTATGCTCATTAGGTTCCACTTATAAGTGAGATCATATTATATTTGTTTTTCTCTGACTGGCTTATTTCACTCAGAATTGCACTATGGAAAACAGTATGGAATTTACTCAAAAAAATTAAAAAGGGACCTACCGTTTGGCCCAGTGATCCCACTTCTAGGAAGATGTCCTAAGAAGCCGGAAACACCAATCAGAAAGAATATATGCTCCCCTGTGTTCATAGCAGCATTATTTACAATAGCTAAGATCTGGAAACAGCCCAAGTGTCCATCAGTATATGAGTGGATAAAAGGTTGTGATACATTTATACAATGGAATACTATGCAGCTGTAAAGAGGAAGGATTTTTTACCTTTTGCAACAGAATGAATGGAACTGGAGAGTATTATGCTGAGTGAAATAAACCTTGATTCTTTACTTGGATGTATCTTCCAGTTCTCTCATTCTCTCTTTAGTGACACTTATCTATTACTTAATCTAGTTCTTCCAAATAATGAATTCTTTCTTCAGTTGCATTTAATCTGTTTCTTAATCCACTTATAAACACATTTCTAGAAGGTCTACTGGGTTCTTTTTCACATTTACTTGTTTTTTTTCATGGTTTCNTCTTCAGTTGCATTTAATCTGTTTCTTAATCCACTTATAAACACATTTCTAGAAGGTCTACTGGGTTCTTTTTCACATTTACTTGTTCTTTTTCATGGTTTCTTGTTTCCTGCTCAAGAGAAGCTACACTCATTCTTATCTCAAGAAGAAGATAAGTTCAATCTTCTCTCTTATTTCTGTAAAAATATTAAGTATGTGATTTTTATATTTTATGTCAGGTAATTTCAATATCTGAAATCTTTGCAGGTCACACTTTACTGTCTGTTGTTTCTACAACTCTCTCTCATGATACCTTGCTCCCTTGTGTACTTTTGATTTAGGGCTATGAGTTCATGTTCCTTGAAGCATAACGTGTGAGAATTTTTTGAGACTGATATGCAGTTAAGTTTTTCCAGACCCTGGTCTGTGCCGGCTTCATCAAAGTTTAGTCATTTGTGAGGACTCCTGAAAGTCAGGCTACTGGCTTTATTTATTTATTTTCAATAACCTTTTTAGGTATGTTTTATATACCATAAAATTTTTCTAAGTTCAACTTTATTGTTGTTCAAACTTTTATAAGACTTGATGTATGGAGTAAAATCTAGACTGTGACAGAGTGAAGGAAAAAGTTGATGTACTTGAGGGAGGAAGGGGAGGAGACTTGAATTATTATTATTTTTTAAAAATTAACTAAGTAATGCTTTGCTAAATTTATTGAGGTGACATTGGTTAACAAAATTATATAGATTTCAAATGTATAATTCTATAATGCATCGTCTGTATATTGTATTGTGTGCTCACCACCCCAAGTCAAGTCTCCTTCCATCACCATTTATCCCCCGTTACCTTCCCCTACCAACCCCACCCCCTTTTCCCTCTGGTAGTCACCATACTGCAGTCTATGAGGTTTTTTTGTTGTTTTTTTGTTTTGTTTTGTTTTGTTTTGTTTGCTTCATCCTGGGACTTGAATTATTTTGATGAAAAGGGATGAGACAAGCAAAAAGACTCAGACATTTGTAAAATAAAGAATTGTTCATTAGAGATATGGTTAAAGGAAAGCAAAAGTGGAAAAGGGCCAGAAAAATTTTATTTGGTTAATTCCTACTCGTTCAGGTGGCTTTGTGGCTGCCAGTTCCTCCTGGAAGCCATCCTTAATCTCTCTCAGTCTGGTTTAGATGTCCCTGTGACCCAGAGCTCACTGTATTTTTTCTTTTTTTTTCTTTTTTTAGTCCTCACTGGAAGATATTTTTTCCATTGCTTTCTCAGAGAGAGTGGAAGGGGGAAGGGGAGGGGGGAGAGAGAGAGAGAGATCGATGTGAGGGAGACACATCAATTGGTTGCCTCCTGCACACGCCCAGATCAGGGCTGGGGACAGAGCCTGCAACCAAGGTATGTGCCCTTGGTCGGGATCAAACCTGGGACCCTTCAGTCCCCGGACCAACGCTCTAACCACTGATCCAAATGGGCTAGGACACTTTTTTTTTTCAATTAGAGTAATTATCAGAATGTGTTCTAATCACTTGATTACTTTTCTGACACTTTATTGAGCAGAGGTCAGCAAACTCCTGTGAGCCAAATCTGGCCAG